CCGATGTTACACTCATCAATAGCTTTCATTTGAGTACCTACATCAATTTTTCATATATTTATATATATGTATGTATGAAAAATATATCAAAAATGCATGTGGGCACTCAACTGAAAGCTCTTGATGAGTGTAACATCGGGATGAGCTTGTATCTTTAAAACTGTCAATAATTAATAAAGTACAATTCAATTTAATAAAAGTCACTATTTAATAAAGCAGAATTTTATTTATGTATAGTTCACAAATCATGGCAGTCACATAGTGACTGCGAGGTTGCTAGTATATTTATATTCATTCATTTTCTAATCAATTTTGTACTAATTAATACTCTTAAGGATCAATTGTTTTTTTTCGACATTAAATTTAAAACAAAATAAAAATATTGCCAGTATAACTCTAAAATATGTAGATATATTTTAGCATTAAATTGAATATAATTCCGAACTAAGACTTTCCTTAGTTGATAGTATAAAATTGACTTAACTTTCTTTTTTTATTTTGATTAAAAAAAAAATTCACATCTATTTTATCTTATAAATTTAAGGAAATTTTTTTTTAATATTAATAAAGTAAATATAGATTTTAATAACATAAATTGAGTCGAAAAACTAATCGACATTAAAGTCAAGTTTTTTTTTTTTTTTTTTATTTAAAATACTTTGGTGCAATTTAAATTTATACTTAATCAATAATGATATATTGTATCAAATATACAGTACTTTTTATTCTATTGCTTAATAATTTATGCATTTGTAGGAAACAGTTAAAAATGCCTGTTGGATTTTTTTATTAATTTTGTTGCGCGCGCCGCTCGGTCACAATTAAAGTTTCCCATAGCATGGATAAATTTTTTTGCAGGTAATAATTTTTTCAATAAAATAAATAAGTAAATTCAATATTAACAAATATTAATTGCGATCCGCATAACTATTAATACTCTAATATTTTTTAATAAATTGAAATTGAATTTTTTAAAAATGAGTTGGCAATTAAAAAAAAATTTTTCACGAAAATAATAAATTTTGTTAATTTTTAATGTCATTAAATTTTCATTAACCCAATGGTGTCATAAATTTTATAGCTTGTTATAGGTATGTATTATATTTATTTTGTTCGGAAACGAATAGAAAGATTAGGACTCAGGTCAAATAATTTCAACATCTGATCCTTTGTCCCCTTATGCCATTAAGCTTTCTTTGATTTTTGTTAAAAATTATTCTCTGAAAAAATTTTACCTTAAAATATTTATTGCTAATTAGACAGATAATAATGAAGGCAATTAAGTTAAAATAATAGGAATAAGATATTCATTTAATGAAAATTTAATTACATTAAAAATTTTTTCGATTTTTTATAAGTTTAATATTCCCAGTGGCAATTATTGCCCATAAAGTTGCGTTGTAGCGGGCGTAGACTATACTATATTATTTAAAAAATAAAAATAGCAAGATTTCAATTAAAAAAAAGGCCATTCGGCAGCCGAAATGGAAGTAGATTTTTCAAATAAAGAAAATTGATTTTTAATAAAATAATATAATAACACTAACAATGGATAACTTAATTCATGAATTAAAAAATAAATTCAATAATGAATTGAAAACTATTTGGAACAAACTTTGGAAAAAAAATTATCTTGTGAAGAAAAAGTTTCTAAAATATTTACCAAAGAATTGCAAAGATTATAAGATTGTATTTATAAATGTCCAAATTTTAAGTAACTGCTTAGAAACAACATAGTTTCCGAGTTAATCAGAATTTTGAAACCAGATAAAATTTTAATTGAAGAAAACAATGTTTAAAACTAATTTGTGACATATTTACTGACAACCTACTCGAAAACATTACACGAAAGACTGATCAATATCGTAATTATTGAATTTACATCATATGATTATAAGCTATGATGCAGACAATAATTCTAAAACGGCTGCAACAGTAAAACTGTTTCATTAAACGAACTCTAAAAGGAGTAATATTGAGGCTATTACCACTTCTGAGTAGTGAAAATTGAAGCTTATTAAAAGAGCTTTACGATGCATTTTACCAAATTTCAATATCTTGTCTAGTTCAATAATTATACCAAGTTAAAGTAGTAAAAACATCAATTTTTACGATTTTCAAAATTTCAAAATCCTGTCATTTCCAAATTACTCGCCCGATTAAGCTCATCTTCGAACTTAACCTTGGTCTTGATCAATAAATGAAGCATGTTGAGTTTGAGAAGAATTGGTTATAAATTAAAAACGTTATCGTAAATACATACATATATAAACTTTTGAACTATATATATTTTCTGACTCAGCTCGACAAACTGAGTCAGAAAATGACAAAATTTTTTGAAAGTTGCGCCATGAGGACGGCTGCAATAGTTAGATTTTTATAAAATCTACTAAAAACAAGTTAATAATATATACTATGTGTATTAGGCCCATACTTCTATACGCAGCTCTTATATGGAGTAACACATCTGATATTAATTTTAAGAAAATATAAAGAATCCAAAATAAATGCCTAAAAATGGCATTAAATCTCAAAATAAATACAAGCATCAAAGATTTACACAAAGAGACAAAACTATCTCTTATAAAAGATACCATAAATTCATATACAAAATTTTTTATAACAATAATCACATAAATGAAATCTTAAATGATGTAAACTGAGATTTGATAAGCCCGAGGCATAAATAAACATAGAATGCCCTTGCAAATGTTAATAGATAAGCACACACTTTATTTTTAAGTTATTTATCATAGGTTAAGTAAAAATAAATAAAGTACAAAATATATTACTAAGTTTTCATAAAAGGTAAAAGTCTCATTAGCTGCTCATGTACCAATACATGCTCACTCCATGTATTTGTATATCTATATCCATAAATATAGATATACAAATACATGGAGTAATAAGCCCGTGGCATAAATAAACATAGAATGCCCTTAAAAATGCTAATAGATAAGCACACACTTTATTTTTAAGTTATTTATCATAGGTTGAGTAAAAATAAATAAAGTACAAAATATATTACTAAGTTTTCATAAAAGGTAAAAGTCTCATTAGCTGCTCATGTACCAATACATACTCACTCCATGTATTTGTATATCTAATATTTATGGATATAGATATACAAATACATGGAATAAGCATGTACTAGTATATGAGCAGCTACTGGGGCTCGTAATGTATAAATTAAATAAATCAATAAAAATATTCTAAAACTAAAAAAAAAAAAAAAAAAAAAAAAAAAAAAAAAACTGGGGCTCTTAGGGTAAATGCACCAGTTGTTGACCGGTCACCAATTAGTTGACCGATGTATAAAAAAGTTAATTAATTAATATTTTACAAGGGTTTTTTTTCTTAAAGTATTAAAATAAAAAAATATGGCATTTAATCATCATAATAAAAAAATACGCAATTAATTGCGCAGTGATTATAGATTTAAAAAAATATTCTGAGTTTGTTTACAACGCAACCAGCCATAAAGCGGTCAAAAATAACTACCGTACAATTGGAGAGTGAGTGCATTTCATAATTAATTTAGTGATATTTATCGGCACAATATCAAATATTTTAGTTTTATTATGTTAATTAAACATCAGATTCCAACTTTTTTGAAAAAATAAAGTTAAATTACAAGTTTTAATATTATTTTAAGACCGGCCAACTATTGGATCCGTCAGAAGCCCATTACCCAGTAAAAAATTCATTCGGTCATTGATAAGACCCTCTGATTTTATCACAATCCAATTAATCACCGTATATTTATAATACTAACTTCTTAAACTCAAAATTAAATCTGTCAAGTGTTTAAAGTACTTAAGTCATTCAATATTTTGTAAATATAAAAATAATCATTATAAAAAATGTATATTTACAATTAAAATAATACTTAAAATCTTTTTTGATTATTAAATTTTATTTTGATGTAATTTTTTTAGTGAACGGTTATATCAAAGAACGAATCATTAGAAGAAAAAATTGCTAAGCAATTAAAAAAAATAAAAAAGAGTTACAAGCTAGAAAAAAAGCTTTAATTGAAAAAAAGAAAGAGAAGAATAAAAAAATTTCAAGTGAATCAGAAGAATTATCATCATCAAAATGAATTTGTGATTAAAATTGGTTTTAGTAGGTTAATAGATTTTTTATAGCTTAATACAGAAAAAGAAAACCTTAATCGGTCAATAATTGGTGCATTTACCCTACCTTAAGCTTTTCCTAGTAAAATAAAATAATTCATGTTATTTTTCGTGAAATAAAATATATCAAAATAAATTATAAAAAATGCTAATGAGAATAAAGGCAAAAGCCCCAAGGTCTCACCAATAAATGTATATACTAATTATTATAATTATCGAATAAAAAGTCTGAATATTTGTATAGAAAAATTGTAACAACTGAAAATAACAGCAGGTATAAAACGATTATTTTTCTATCGATGTTATACCTACTCGTACACACTCAGCAGGAAAATTTGTAACTTACAAAGGCTTCAACTATTATAATAAATTACCAGATAATATAAGATTAGAAAATAGATTGAAAAGGTTTAAACGATTATTAAAAGACTATGTTGAAAATACGTTTTGACTAAGGAATATTTACTTGATTTAGTATACTATATTAATTATAATCTGTAGGTTGTTTTAGAAATTTTCTTTTAAAATATTAAAATTGAATAGCAAATGCTAATAAATTGACATTATTATTATTATAAATTATATGTTCTATAATGTACAATGTCTATGTAAAAATAAGAGATCAATAAGCAAAATTTTGACTAAAAAAAAAAAAATAATATTTAATATCTAATGTGTACATTTTTCTTTTCTTAAATAATGTAAGTAGAGATTATTTTCATAATTCCCAGGTAGGTCAATAATATTCTATATTGAAATTTCTAGGAATTTTTGTTGAAATTCAATGTCTTCTTTGAATAATTATATACGTGTTATAAAAAAGAGTAAAGGCAGTCACTATGATACTAGAAATAGTTGCTTAATTAATGTAAAAAGCATTAGAACAAAAAGTGCTGAAAAAACGATTACATACATAGGCTTTAATATGTTCAACGATTTACCAAGAAATTAAAGATCAAACAACTATTTCTGGTTTTAAGAGACTTTAGCCGAAAATGCTAAGATGACGATTGATACTTAATTTATGGATGCTATGGAATTTATGACTTGATACGTATTGTGTGATATTATATTTTTTATTGCATATTATTAAGCAAGTACGAGTACCAAGACAACTTTTGATAAAAAGCTTGATTTTTTTTTAATATGAGGTTTAAATATGTCTAAACAAATTTCGAAAATTTGAAGGAGATTGCCCGATCATTTAAATAAATAATTAACTTTAAAGTTGAGCAATTTAACATTGGTCTTATGGGGCAACCTCCATACATTGAAACATTTTTATATTTTTCTCATAAAACTGTCGGTGAATATTTTTAAAAAACTTATGGATAAAGTAAATATATTAGTGATAAATTTAATTCAAAAAAATTTACACTTGCCCGACTAATTAAAGTGTCCTATATATTATATTTTATATTTTTATTTTATTTTTATATACTAAAATTGATGGTAGAATGAAGTTAGCTTAGTATCGAAAACATGGACCCTGATTCCTTATTGGTTAAGATTAAGGCGCGCGCTATTCAAATTTCTAGTATTAATTAGAAAAATAAATGCCGCCATTAGCCAATGTTAAATGTATATCTATATATTAAGAAAAATCACATGGTTACTGCTCTCCCCTTACTGCGCTAGAGTAGATACCCATCCCCACCCCGCCTAGCGCTTGTACTTCCTTAATAGACAAAATGTGAAGTGAAATTAAAAGATTATGTGCAAATGAATAAATTGTAATGAGTGAATACTATTGTAATTTGTATATTTATATAGCCAAAGGCTAAATAAATAAACCTTATATTAGAAATATAAATTATTCATAAATGAATATTTAAATTTTCTTCATTAAAATTTGTTAAATAATTATTTGAATATACTTAAAAAGTTTTTTACGTATTGAAAATTTTATTGGCCCTGAAAAGGGCCGTTCTGATTGCGTTTAGTGTTTAAAAATTTTGTTGATTGAGTATTTAATTTCTGACTGATGGAGCTTTTCTTGCAGGAGCTTTGGCTGCTTTAGGAGCCGCGGCCTTTTTTGGTTTCGGTGCTTTAGGCTTAGCAGTTGGGCCCTTTGCAGCTTTTTTGGCTTTTGGAGCAGCTGCCTTCTTAGCCTTAGGTTCAGCAGCAGCTTTAGGTTTAGCTGGAGCTTTGGCCTTCTTTGGAGAAGCTGGTTTCTTGGCAGCTTTTTTGGGTCCAGTAGCTTTCTTCACAGAAACTTTGGGCTCACTGGTCTTCTTGGCGGCTGGTTTCTTAGCAGTAGCTTTTTTCGGAGCAGCTTTCTTCTTCTCAACAGAAGCGGTCTTGGGCTTTGGCTTGGCTGCAGCTTTGATGACTCCAAGCTTGAATGATCCAGAAGCTCCCTTTCCTTTGGTTTGCACCAAAGTCCCCTTCTCGACAGCAGACTTGAGGAACTTCTTGATGTAAAGCGCCTGTCTATCAACGTCGACCTTGTAGTTGGCGGCGATGTACTTCTTGATGGCCTGGAGCGAAGATCCGTGACGTTCAGCAAGAGCTTTTACAGCAGCAGTTACCATGTCACCAGCACTGGGATGAGTTGCCTTGGTGGCTGGTTTCTTAGCCTTGACTTCCTTCACTTTTTTCGGAGTATTGACCTTGGCGATCATTTTCGCCTCAACTGGAGCTGGAGCAGCGGCGACTTCGGTGTCAGTCATTGTAGAGTTTTTTTAAAGTAAATTATACTTTGAGAGTTTCACAAAACGTCCGTTAGAACAGTGGTGGCGCTGATTATCCAAGTGGCGAGTTTCGATCTGTAGCGCGGACCATGAAGAGAGCCGCGCTCACTTTTCACCCAATTCTTGTCTTCAGATTTTACTCAACAGTGTTAGGTCTTAAGTTTATTTATTTTTTATTAATTATTTATAAGATAAATTTGTTTATAAAATATGCTTTTTTATACAATGAAATGTTCAATAATTATTTTTAATAATTAACTTATTAAAAATATCTTCGGCTGATAAGTTTTATTTCGTGTTTTTAGAGGCGCTTAGGCTCTCAACACCCTAGATGCCTCAATAATATTGTTAATAAATAATTAAATAAACATTTAATTTTTATAAAAATTATCGCTAATGATTCTCGAATGTTCATTCTTTTAGAATAAATTTATATTAAATGGAAAAATTAATTAATTTCGGACATATGCTCACATTTATCCGGCTTCTCCAAGCAAATTTTTTAGTCTTGGTCTACTTATTATTATTCTCAATTTATTCGTTAATTTGTAGTAAAAAATGTTAGTAATTTTTCCGAAAGATACTTTTTTTACTTATTTAAAAATATTATTTTTTTATTAAATCAATAATCATAAGATTTTTTGCTTTATTACTAAGTAAAGTGTCATTGGGCCGTCGCATTTTTTTACGCATGTAATTCAATCACAAAAAAAAAAAAAAACTTACTTTTTAACTCTAGTAAAATAATAAGATTTTTTTTAATAAATAAATTATTGTAGAATTGTAAGAGAAAAAAATTCGAGTAAATATTGTAAAATTTTGAAAATTTTTTGTCTATAGAATTTATAGTGGTCGTAGTTTTTTTTTCTTTGCTACGCATATTGTGTTCATAAAAAGTCTAGCGTGAATATGACGCATAAAGCAATAAAATTGAGTATAACGGTTTAGATTGAAATTTGAGAAGCAATAATGATGAAAGACTTCTTAATAATATTTTGATTGTTTTTTTACAGAGTAGTTATATGCTTTATAGTTCTTATGTATTGTGTAATTATGATTGTGTTTATGTAAATTAATTATTTAATATAGGTAATTAAATAAGTTTCTTTTTAATCAGATTTTTTTAATAAATATTTATTAACAATTAATAAATGTAATTTTTCTCTAAAAAATGTAGAAAAAATTATTTGAATAAATTTTCTTAATTAATAAACTTATTAACGGTTAATTAAAAACAGTCATGTTTATTATTTTTCTTATTTTTCATATAATTTTTTTGTACATTAATGCTTTTAGCTTATACGTAATAATATAATATATAAGTGATAATTTTTGGTCCCCGTTAAAAAACTTAACTCAATAAAATATAGTTTCATACATTGTCAACATATTTAACAATTATTATAATAGTAGATTGATTATTTTTTTTTTGGTTAAGCAAAAAATCAATCGAAACTTTTATTAATTTTGGATGTTTAGAATTTTTCTTACTTTACTGATATTTCAATTAAAATTTAAAAAAAAAACAATTTTCCCTCGTAAATTCGGTCGATGACGTTGCAATTTCTGATTGGAGAAAATGATTGTCTGGCGTTAAAACTACAGGCTCATTATGCCCAAGTACAGCAAATTAAACTGCACAATTACTTACTTCTCCTCCCCACTACTACTCCCAGGTTTAGAGTAGTTTCATACCTGGGACCTTTTGCTAGAAAAAAAATAATTACATTTTATCTCGAGCCTTCAAGTGAGCTACTTGAAATCTTGAAAATACGTGCAATTCAGTGCAACTAGCGCAATTCAGTAGATTTAATATTTTTTCTCAAAGTTTGAAGCTAAAGCAAACTCTTTTTACGATGGCGAGTAAATGGTACTTCACCCAAGAAGAGTTGAGCAAATCACCCAGTGCCAAAGTGGGTATCAGTGCAAGTCAAGAACAAGATTATAAGCGGCAGGCTGCATTTCTGATCAGCGACATGGGGCAACGGTTGAAAGTTTCTCAGTCGTGCATCAATAAAGCGACTGTCTACATGCATAGGTTTTATGCATACCACCCGCAATCTGAGTTTAAAAAGTGTTCAGTTGCGTGTGCCGTTTTGTTCCTGGCTGCAAAAATTAAGGAAACAACTGTAAACCCCGAGATGGTGATCAAAGCTATGCACCTGTGCTTGAATAAAAATTTGAGGCAGGTTGATATTTATTCGGAAGACTTCAGGAAAAAAGTTAGTAAATTAATTACCGACGAATCAATTTTACAAGCGACTCTGGGGTTCGTGACCGAAATTGAAACTCCGCACAGATATGTGTTCGAGTTTTGCCAGAAGTTGAACGTGAGCAAGGAATTTTTGCGCCTTGCTGACAAGATAGCGACGCATTGTCTTCAATTAACATCAATGTGTTTGAGGTTCACACCTAAAGACATTGCTGTTTTTTGTATTCATCTGACGAATAAGTGGTCCCATTTCAAGATCCAGAACACCGTCGACGGAAGACCTTGGCTCCAGCATTTGAATTCCAAGGTCGACGATAAAATTCTGTGGAAAATGGATATAGAGTTCAAAAGTTGCTTGGACATGTGTTCTTCACGGATTCAAACTCATGTCATAAGTGCTTTTGTTACTAATTCTGTTTCTCCTGCTTCGAATCGAAATAAAACACCTGAAGATCGAAAATTACTTCAGCGGAAAAAAATTAGTTTGAAGGACTATCTCGCCAGGAAGAACCTTGGAAATAGTAGTGATAGTAATAATAATTCTAGTGATAATATTAGTAGTGATGATGATAATAATAATAACACTCCGAGGATATCTTTAAATATAACACTTGTAAAAAATTCATCACTTGAAACTAGTAATATAGTCAGTGAAAAAAGTCGCAAACGAAAAAATGGTTCAGATTTAAAAGATATATCGACACCTGCTAAAAAGTTCAATCCAAATTAGAGAATTCATTATTAAGTTAATGAGTTTACTGTTTTAAGTTTATGTAATTACTATTTTTTAAAAAATTAGAAACCATTGACAAAGCTGTCACTAAACACTATAAAACCAATGGCCCTTTTCAGGGCCACAAATTTTTCTACACGTAAAAAACTTGAAAACTTTATAATTATCCAATTTAATTGGAGGTTTGACAATTTTTACTCTTTTCATCCAAATTTAATAATGAATTATTAATGTTTTCAGGTATAAGTTAAAAAAAATAATATCTTAATAAATTCATGATTATTGGTTAAATATCAACGTTATTAATTGATTGAAGATAATTTCATTTTTTTAAATTAAATATTAAATATCTATTTTTTGTAATTGATTTATTTTGAAAAAATTATGTATTGAAAGCACGGAATTTTATTATATATTAATATTCATTTATGGTCTAATTAATTTTGTCTTAACTAATACTATTAGCTATTTGAGACACTAATTAATACTGTTAAGAACCAGTTTTTTTTTTTAATTTAAAACAGAATAAAATTATTACCAGTATATCTCTGAAATATGTAGATATATTTTAGCATTAAATTAAATACAATTCTGGACTAAAAGACTGACCTCAGTTGATAATATGAAATTTAATGGTGATTAATTCTATCTCTGGTAAAAATCAATTTAAAATAACAGAATCAGAAGAAAAATATTAAAATAGTTAAAAGAAAATTCCTGTCATTATTCCTGTTGAAATAAAAATTTAATCTTAATTTTGATAAATAAAGTACAAATTTTACAATTTATTCAGGTAATAATTTAAATTTGTAAAATAATCTAATTCTTCTCTATTCAGATGCAAAATTAATTTCCCCAGGAACTTCTCGGCCAGGTCTTTGAATTTTCAAGTCCAAAATCACCATAACATTTCTATAAAAAAATTAATAATTATTAGATTAATAAATAAACAAAAAATAGTTTGATTGAATAACGAATTAATGACTGCATTATAGATTAAATTTACATTATTTCATCCCCTTTTTTGGCTTCCGATAATCCATAACGGGTAATTTGAACAATCGAATACATCGTCAGTATATTATTTGTAATCAAGTGATTGAGCTCTGGAGCAAGCATCGCAAATGAATTACTAGTAATACCATCGTTAAGAAACACTCTGTAGCGTTCTTTGTCTGCACACATCACTTTTTTAAAACCCTGAAAAATACATTTCAAACTTTAAAAAAATTATTATAATTGTAACTAAAGCTACGTGAATTTTTAGATATCATTTATTGTTTTACCAAAAATTGAAGATTGGGTTTCTCGATTTTCAACCCCTGTTCCGTAATTTGCTGGAACAAAATTAAAATTTTTAATAATAAGTACAATAATTAATCAAGATAATGTTCAAAATATGCTTCTTACCTCTATTGCGCGCCAAGATAAAATTGGATCCATCTCAATTTATTATTTTTGTAACCTCAATTTGATTAACTCACTTGTGATCCTCACACTCTAAATCTCAAATTTCAAACTTTTCAAATATTTAAAATTTCTCGAAAAATTATTGTTCGAAATTAAAAAAATAGAGCTGGTAATAATAATTTTTTAATAATTCGCAGATGTCTTGATATGAATTTTAATTTCCCTGCGGAACTTTTTGTTAAAATGGAATTTTGACACGTCACTATAACTCACTAATATACCTATAGGTACTCAAATAATGCACCTGGACTTCAAAACTAAATAAAGTATACTATACTAAAAATTTTAAAAGCTATATCTTTCAAGCATGGCATAGTTTATTCTTGAAGATCAAATTTATGCATCAATAGTTTTGTTCAGGTCATGTTTCAAGAGTCAACAGTTTTTGAGGCTTCGAATTTTTTATGTTTAATAAAAAAATTTAATGAACAATTCTTCGGAGTAAATTTTTAATACATCTGTTTAAGTATTAATCTTATTCACGGAGAGAAAAATGTGGAAATCATTCCTATAATTTTAACGAAATATTTTCCTATACCATTTTAGGAGCGATTACTTAAATTATTGGAATTATACCCATAATTTTTGGGAAACGTTACTATAATTATGGGAATGGTTCCTATAATTATAGGAACGATACCTATAATTATAACTGTAATATCGGCATGATTCCCATAATATATAGGAATGGTTCCCATAATATTATAGGAATGATGCCAATAATATTGGAGTAATTTTTTTTCACACCACTGTGACGATAAAATTCTGTGGAAAATGGACATAGAGTTCAAAAGCTGCTTGGACATGTGTTCTTCACGGATTCAAACTCATGTCATAAGTGCTTTTGTAACAAATTCTGTTTCTTCTGCGTCGGATCAAAATAAAACGCCTGAAGATCGAAAATTACTTCAGCGGAAAAAAATTAGTTTGAAGGACTATCTCGCCAGGAAGAACCTTGGAAATAGTAGTGATAGTAATAATAATTCTAGTGATAATATTAGTAGTGATGATGATAATAATAATAACACTCCGAGGATATCTTTAAATATAACACTTGTAAAAAATTCATCACTTGAAATTAGTGACATAGTCAGTGAAAAAAGTCACAAACGAAAAAATGGTTCAGATTTAAAAGATATGTCGACACCTGCTAAAAAGATCAAGCCAAGTTGGAGAATCCATTATTAAGTTGATAAGTTTACTGTTTTAAGTTTATGTAATTACTAATTACTATTTTTTAAAAAATTAGAAACTATTGACAAAGCTGTTACTAAACACTATAAAACCAATGGCCCTTTTCAGGGCCACAAATTTTTCTACACGTAAAAAACTTGAAAAGTTTATAATTATCCAATTTAATTGGAGGTTTGACAATTTTTACTCTTTTCAGCTAAATTTAATAATGAATTATTAATTTTTTCAGGTATAAGTTAAGAAAAATAATAAATAAATAAATTCATGATTATTGGTCAAATATCAACGTTATTAATTGATCATAGAAAATTTTCTTTGTTTAAATTGAATGTTAAATATCTATTTTTTTTTTAATTGTTTTGTTTTCAAAAAATTGTGTATTTAAAACTTGGAATTTTATTATATATTTCTACTTATTTATTGTCTAATATATTTTGTACTAATTAATACTCTGTCTTAAAAAAATTTTATTATTTTAGGATATTTTTTACGTGATGAAAAGTATTTTTTTTTGTATTGTGCATGGATAATAATAATTATAATTATCAATTGAAATTATTAGAGGTATAGTGGATTAAAGAAAGATTTATTTACCTAAAAAAATTAATTGTATTCTAATAGCCGACACATTTAAAAATTAAAAAGAATTTTTTTATTGAAAAAATGACTACAAAAAAAAAGAAAAAAAAATTGTCATTTGTTAAAAACTTGAAAAACTGTAAGTGTAATTTTTTAAAAATATTTTTTCGTTCTAATTTAATTATTAAAAAAAAAAATCAAAAAATTAAAAAGTGTCAAATAATTAAAAATTTCCCGCGGTTTTATATTGTGACACAGATGGCGCGCATACTAGTTTCATTTATCACAGTCAGAAAATATAAGAACTCACACACGTGTAACACGAATAACACATAAACTTACCTTCACAAATATTTGTGAGACGTGTGATATACGTAAGTAATTACGCGCTTGCGCAAAGGTTGTTTACAACTGCGGAGCTCACGATACATACACATGACCTTTTCAAGATGGACACGAGTATACTCAATGGTAGAATCCCGCGTGCGACGTAAACGTGCCATTATAAATCGATCTTTACAACAATAATAACACCAAAAAAAAAGGTAAATCCAAAGAAAAACTTATAAAACAACAGCCTGTACATATTGACAGTCCTTACATTAATAGTGACGTTTTAGTATTGGAGTAAAATAAAGTGTCAAGTGTCTACATCAAGGGATTAAAAACAGAAGTGACGCTGCGTCGTGGTGGCAATAACGACAGCAATCAAATATGTACAAGTAAGTAGACAACAATCTAAATACATATGTACGTTCACTTGTTATTGCGTTTACCAAAACAACAACATACTTATTTTGTTTAACCAATCATTTACCTAACTAATTATATTAGTTAATAATTATTGCCAGGTGTTGATGCTGTACGAGGCTGTTTTCATCATTATTATTATTTTTATTTTTTTTTTTCTAAACCATCTGGAGTTTATTTTTTTTTTAATTGTGGACCTTGAGCCCTCTAGGTCAATACTGCTAAATAAACATTGCAATAAGCAATAAAAAATAAAATAATAGCAATTATAATTACTATTTTTATTATAATTATACTTACAACGTTTCATTGCCATATACATATCCAATTTATAAGAGGTAGTATAGATTGTTTTTTCTCAAATTAAAATTTTTGCAACACTGAAAGTGCAAAAAATTAAAAAAAAAATTCAAAATTTAAAAGTGAAATTTGAATGAAAATTAATCTAGCATATATATTTAATAATTTTAAGAATTTTATAATAAATAAATTATGGCAAAAAAAAAATTATAAAAAAAAATTGACATGTAGAAATTTAAAAAAATTAAAAATGCAATTTTTTTTAAATAATTTTTTGGAACAAATTTTTTTTTAATTTTTTCCGGGAATTTAAAAACCTAAAAATTGATAATTAAATAGTTAAATTTAATTTTTTTTTATTTTAATAGATTTTAACGATCGTGTTGGTGCGATTTATTGGTATGGTGTGTTGACGAAGATTATAAAACCAATAAACGTCTATTTTCCCTTGGATCCAGTGTATGATAGGGTTGATGGCCTATCTAGTGATAGTAGATGGGAAATAAAATTCCAAGGTGCGTGTTGAGGGTTGCGCGGCTAAAGAATACGATATACATACACTGATTCACTGATATACATGTGTATATGTATACATAAATATGTGCGGATGTGTATATATGTGTAAAAAGGTAGTAGGAGAACCCAAAAAGGCGTTCCCTAACCTCTGAGTAAATGGGAACAAGTCGATTGGAAATAGTATATAGTATATTCAACCTAAATCACATGTTTTGTATGTAATCGATTATTTATTTTTATTTTTTTTTGTTTTGTTAATAGGAGGATATGTGTTTAGGCTTACTCATTCGCCTGTCTGAGTGTAGGTGTATGTTTTGTTTATCATTACTATGTTGAAACGGTTAATGATAATTTAATTAAATAAAATAACTTGTTTTTTAGCCCGCGTTTATTACCTTTTTTATTGTTAAACTCAATTTCTAAATTGTTTTGTTTTTCAGGTATAACAATCGGGTTTGTGTATGTGTGCGTTGGAATTTTTTTCAATCAGATTGTTTGTAGTGGATGAACTTGAGTTTTTATTTTCGAACGATGTTTTTTTGGGCAATTGACGTTAATTGTTTACTTTGTTGATTAATCATTAGTTTCAAGTTAACACTGTTGATGTTATTTTAATAGCTCTGTTTTTTTGGGTTTTTCTGTTATCTATTAAATTAAATTTATTGACAATTTATTGGAGTTAGTTATAATAGCTCGAGTCGTGTTTTGATTAATTGAATTTTTTATCGGAGTAAAAAATTTTTTTTTTAATTAACTATTTTTTAACTTGGATAATTTATATTTAAAAAAATAAACATTATTTTTTTTTAAGTGGAATAATTTATAAAAATTTTAAACAATTTTTGTGTTGAAGAAAAAATATCATTGTAAATATGAAAAAATATTTTTAACTTCAATGGAAATTTAGAAAAATTTTTAAAATTAGTGTGGATTTTTTTTTTTAATATTTGATTTATTTTTTTAAAATTAAAAATTATAATAATAATTTTTGTTAGAAAATATTTAAAAAAAATTTTTTATGTGTATTTAAACCGATTTAATATTTAATTTTTTTTGGAATATTTGATTTATTTTTTTTAAAATTAAAAATTATAATGATAATTTTTGTTAAAAAATATTTTTATTTATATTTGAACCAATTTAATATTTAATTTTTTAAATTAAAAAAAAATTTACTAATTTATTAAAATTTTTAAAAATTAACTTCAAATAAATATTTAATAAAAAATTTATCTGTTACAGATTTGCCTGAAAAAATTTCCAATTATGTGAACAATCTAACAAGGATAAATCCTCGCTACTAAGTAGAACCCAACTAATCAAAATAAAGACGATTTTATTCACAACGACGGCGATGTCTTCTAGTCGGGGCCAGTCAACATCATCGGGGCCCATAGTACGCTGTGGACATCTCCGTAAAAGTGGTTCCTTGATATCAGGGTTAAAACCTCTGAAGAAAAAGTACTTCGTATTGCGCGGGGACTCTCCAGGGCACCCAGCATGTCTCGAGTACTACGATAGCAAGAAAAAGTTCGACAACAAGCAGCAGCCAAAGCGTACAATTACCATGAAAAGTTGCTACAATATTAATCGGCGTAATGACACCAAACACAAGCATGTAATTGCGCTCTACACCAAGGACGGGTGCTTTTCCCTGATACTCGACAGTGATAAAGATGTCGATGATTGGCTCACCGCAATGCTGCTCCTTTCCGGTGATGTTCCTGATGGTGAATTACCACGTCCTACATTCGGTAAATATTTCCATTTGTTTGGTTTATTTTCAAATGGACAATTTATTAATGTTTTTATAAATTTATAGAACACGTGTGGGAAGTTACTTTGCAAAAGAAAGGTCTTGCTGAACGGATGAACATAAATGGATCCTATCGGCTTTGTTTGACCGATCATTCGCTGAGTTTAATAAAAGCTGGGGACAAAAAATCCGACTGCCTTGAATTTCTAGTAATTATATTTTAATTATTTAGTTATAAATTTTATTTTTTATAAGAACGATATATTTATATTGGTATCGTTCTTTATGAGTCTGAACTAAGAAATTTGACCAGACTGTTAGTAATTAAGTTAGTTAGTTGAAAAATTTTTGAGAAGTCAAAACGCTTAAAGGGGAATACTACTGTGACCCTCGAAAAAATAAGTGATTTTTAGGAATTTTTTGACGGTGGAAATAAAAAAATTTGGGGGTCGAATTTTTTTATTTTATTAAGGGTACATTAAAGATTATTACCCTAAATTTTTATTAAAAAATATTGAATTATTACAAAATTATTAACAATCTCGTAGAGCACTAGAAAAAATTTTCCCCTCCATGGTCGTATCGATAATTTAAAAACGGATTATCTGAAAATGAAAACCCTAATTGCTTTTTAATCAGTAAGAATGTAGTTATTGTTGCACGGACGGAATTTTAAAAATTTTGATTTTAAAGATTTTAAAATAAAGAAATAAACAGTACAAATAATGAGAAAATTTTCAATCAGTCGCTTTTTTTTTTGAAAATTAAAAATTCAAAATTCCGTACGTGCGACGATAACTACATCCTTACTGATTAAAAAGCAATTTGAGTTTTTAATTTCAGATGATTTGTTTTTGATTTCAATCAGTCGTCTTTTTTTAGAAATTAAAATTTTCAAAATTCTGTACGTGCGATGACAACTACATCCTTACTGATCAAAAAGCAATGGGTTTTTATTTTTAAATGATCCGTTTTCAAGTTATCGATGCGACCATGGAGAGAATTTTTTCTAGTGCTCTACGAGATTTTTTATAACTTTGTAATAATTAAATATTTTTTAATAAAAATTTAGGGTAATAATCTTTAATGTACCCTTAATAAAATAAAATAAATCCGATTTCTAATTTCCTTTATTTTCCGTCAAAAAAATTCCTAAAAATCACCTTTTTTTCGATCATCACAGTGGTGTTCCCTCATAAAATGACAGGCTGGATATAACTTATTTTTTTACTTTTAAAAATAACTTTATCTATCATATAGATAAGTACATAATAGAGTTACATGTTTGTATACTTTTACTTTTTATAAATTTTACCTATCTTGCGACTTATTAATGTTTTTTAAATATTTTATGTTTTCTTCATTAAAATTTTTGTTTTATTATCGTGGTTAAAATCGCTTATAAGAATCGTGTTCAAAACATATTTTTAAAGAACCGTATCTCCTATAACGTCCAAGGAATTTTTTTATTTATTTTTCAGAAATTACAGTTCACTTTTTATAAAAGGCTTTTTATTCTTAAATAAAAAAAAATATATTGGATTTAATAAAATAAATTATTAAATATTTTGGTGAGAAACATAATCATAAGCTCAGATTTATTTCCAGTAAATAAAATCTACCATTAATGTAAAAGCATTTTATGAAAGACACAAATTTTTTTAATGACAACGTAGTTAACCGATATGACGCAATTTGACGCAATAGTTTTACGAACTAAATCTGTTTTTCTAATACGCAAAAACAATTAACTATTTTATTTATAAATAATTTTATTTTTTGTAAATTTTTTAATTTTTTTCTTGCATCTGTATTTATTTTCTTTTTGATAATTAAATATTTAGATTATTTTTTATTTTTTAAGCTATTTATTAATAATATCTTGATTAAATATGGATTATGAATATTTAAATATAAATAACTTTATTATCAAGGCTATTGTATTTATTATCTCACATATATTAATACTTTCCGTAATTATGAAAACTTTTTGCATAAATGTGAGAAAATAGTTTCGATATAATACTAAAAAATTTTTTTTTATTTTTTTCTGCGCGTAGACGGTGATTCTATCGATAATGCCGCATAGAGACGTTCACGTTCTAGATGTTGTGAAAATTAAAGGAAATTCCTATAATAAATTTTTTAATAACAGATTTTTTGAGCATCAGAGAATTAAAAGCCAAAACAATTTTTTAATTATTTTTTCACGGTTTTTTTTTTTTTTAACAGGTAGCTTTTAATTATTTGTTAAGTATGGATCCTCTTAGATTACATTGTATCAGTTCACTGCAAAACTTTGTGATCTAAGAGGATCCATTCTAAACAAATAATTAAAAGCTACCTGTTAAAAAAAATTGTAAAAAAAATTAATAATAATTATTAATCTATATTATTGAGAGAATAAGTTAAATTTCGTGACCAGTCTGCATTCGAAAATGCTCTATCTCGAGATACATAATTATAAAATGACCTTGTTTCTTGTGAACTATTGAAATTTTTCAAAGATATAAGCTCATCCCGATGTTACACTCATCAAGACCTTTCATTTAAGTACCCACATCCATTTTGATATATTTTTCATATATACATATATATAATATATATAAATATATAAAATATATGAAAAATTGAAGTGGGTATTCAAATGAAAGGTCTCGATGAGTGTAACAACAAGATGAGCTTATATCTTTAAAATTGTTAATAGGTCACGAAATACAAGGTCATTTCTTAAATATTGACATTTTTTAAGATATAAGCTCATCCCGCTGTTACACTCATCAA